TCTATTTAATTGTGTTTAAGTGATCTCTCATACCAGAACAATTGTCTGACTGAGATACAGTATGTAGGAATTATATCAAATAAATAAATAAAAAATAAACAAAAAAAAGTGAACATTTAAGTTAAATTTTATGGCAAAGTGTTTTTATAGTACCCAAAAAAGTGTCCAGTGCGGGTTAAAATATTCAGCTATTCCAACACCAGTTTCCCACAATGGCATTTTTTTATAATAATTGCAGCAATAATTATATATAATTAAATATGATATAACAACATGTTATTATATTGAATAGGTGTCTTGAGGGTATCTATAAATTGCTGTAAAATCTATGCACAAAGCGCAGGAGTGCTTTGACACCCAAGGAATGCAAGATGTATGACACTTTCAAATATTTATACAGGAAGATAGGACAAGAAGGATTCATAAACAATGCAATAATTAAAGGGATAAATTGCAACAGAGTATTAAATGTTCTGAAAAGTGTTCAAATTCAAAAGAAAAAAAATCACAGCCGATAACAAATTTCTTGCTTTAGGTCTGTCCAAATAGTCTCCAAAAGCTATATTTATTTTGCCATGTCCTTAAGCATTGAGAAAGTTGCATGCAGATATACAATAGTATAGCGGTATTAAAGAGTGTCTATTTAAAACATTAGGTTCAGCTATTTCTCTCAAAAAGTTATTAAATATCATCATATTCAGAATTGTCATATGTTTGAACTGAATTTCATATTGTTGATGTTGCAAAAAAAGTTATTTAGTATTGGTTTAAATGTTCATAAACATAAGTTCATTGTTATATTTAATAAGATTGTCTATTACATAAGCATATGTGAACACTTATAAAGCGAGGCTATACCATACTTAATATTTTAATGTATTTTGATTAAGAGTTACTGTTATGATATTTTTCAAATAAAACTTAGGCAACGGCGCAATATATTGTTTAAATTCAAGATATATTTGTTACTGACCTTGGGAATCAACAATGTTGCTTTTATCTTTCAATTCAAAAACAATTGTATGCGCATAAAACATTTTTCTGTTCATTGTAAACACTTTGTTGATCTTTTTTGGCAATTTCAATGATAATGTTTTCATCATGATGAAACATGGTTAAATGTAATAATTATAGAACACTCATACGAAAACTATTCGAAGGTTTCGTCAAATGCAACTTTACTAATAATTGATTAGATAGCAAAATAACTATTAAATGCAGAATTAATAAAAAAGAATATCTCATAAATGAACTAATCTTAGGAATTTAGTTCTCTCTCAATATTGATATCAATATATATTTTATTTTTTTAAGGTTTATAAATTTGTTATTTATTCGTCAATACTCATGTGTTTTTTTTCTTCTTAGTTTTTAATCTTCTAATATATTGTAATTAAGTCATTAAGTAATTAACATTAGTCTAGTCAATCATTTCTACAATTCATTTTTTAGATATTATGTATGCATAATTGTGGAACTATAATGATTAATATTCATCATGTATTTGAACATACCATAACCAATTTCAATTATTCTATAAAAATATGTCTGTAATATATTTGAAAATATGTCTTGTACTTCGCATGTTTTGTTCTTATTTCCAATATGAAAAATTAATAAATTCAAATTTCAATCAAGGTAACGTCAAATCGCCAGGCATAGCAATTTATTTATGCTTATTTATCTATGAATGTAATATTGCGTTTAAAAGACGATCTGTTAACGTTGGTACCAGCAGAAGCAACACGCTCTGATATTTTATTTATTTTCACTTCATTCATTATAATAATCATTTTTTTATAATTCATCACTTTTTTGGGAGTTTCCTGTTTTTTTGTAGGAGGCATAATGAGTGAAGTGAAAAAAATAAGTAAATAAGACGTTTTAATAATTGATAAAAACACTCATTGTGCAAAAAACGGCATTACTCAAGTGGCCCATGGCAGACATGATGTCTGCACACAAATAGTGGGCTCCCTTCTATTTACAAACGCCTTTTTTGCATATGCATCCCACAAAAACACAATGTAAGCAATCGGAAAGAATCACTTTGCATTTCAAAGAATTTATGTCTATATAATAAATTGTATAATTACATGATTTTTTTCGTGAAAAATCGATGTCAATTCGCGTAAGAGTCAACGAGGGTAAAAACTTTCTCGGCAAAATTCTTAGCACGTTTCTCTGTACATTGCGAAAGTAGGTTTATAATCCCGAAATACTTTTTAAAATTGAGTAAGTATCACAATATGATAAATATGTACGCGATTCGACATATGTACATATCACCAGTCTTTCAGTTATTTTTCGGCCCACGTCTGTCCATCGCACTCTATATACAGGAAAACTTCAAATTTACCCTTCTGGGATTTTCATAGTCAAATCGAACTCATCAAATATTATCTTTAAACGAAGCTCATGGATTATATTAATTATAAATTACAAATTTATTATATTATATTATGCACTCCATTATATGTATAGGATAGCAATCACAATAAAAGCATTTATAAGAAAACACTTCTACAGATCCCTAAATGATAATACATTCGGCGAGTGAATTATTTAACGAATCTTAAAATCCGCATAAAAAACTTCAACTTTTTAAAGTAGATTATGAAGACCAAATTCTTTGCTTATATATTAAAATTAAAAGCTGCAAAAACGTTAATTAAAAATATAAATATAAACATTTCCAAGCAATATATTTATTCATTCCAAATTAAGATAGTTTAAATAAGATAATAAATTATTAATATTTAAAGAAAACAGAATATTTCAACATGAAACTCTTAAATTTGAATAGTGGTGACATTGAAGCAGAGTATTTAGAGTATAAGAAATCAAAGCTTTGAAGAATAAACTGCATTGCGTGCAGATATAATCATTTTTTCGTTGACGATGGACAATCAGGCCCACATTGACCATATTCCTCTTCAACCCACTTTTCTAACTGTTGCTCTTCATCTTTGCATATGTCAGAATGATCCAAATGACGAGCAATTGTTTGTTTAATGACGCAAGGCTTTCGCTCACATCTTGGTATACATACTTCCTTCTTTTTAGGCTTAGGTTTCGGACATTTTCTTGGACAACCTTTAGGCAACTGTCGTTTTTGTGAAGAAAACATCGCCTTCGAACCAATAAGATCTAAAAAACTATTTGTCTTGTTCAAGGCACACGTAACAGAATTTGGTATTATTGTTGAGTGCTTTAATCGGCTCTTCAATTGTTCGCCGGAATAAATTTTTCCTTTAAGTGCCATATTTTTATTATTGATGTCATCATTCTTATCCAAATTTATATACGATGCACCGGATTCATCAGATGTAATATCAGACCCCAACATGTGCCTGTTATACCGCATTGCATTCTTACATGGCGAATTTGTGTCGCGTTTAAGTTCAATCTGTGAGTATTGATTGTCGACGAATCAGTGACTTCTAAGTTTAAGCCCTGCAGTATGTCGGATTTCTCAATAGGAGGTACTACTATGTTTCCTAAATCAGTTTCTGTCTGTTTCCTTTGTGATTCCTCTAAGCTCTCAATTTCATCACTTTCTAACTTCTCAGAATGTTTATCCTGATACTCATGATATTTTTCTAGGTTACAAGGGTTAGAAAACTTTAAATAGGCGCGATCGCGCCTACGGGTCCAATATCGAATCCAATCTCTTCCCGTCATCGACGCATATTTCAGTCTATTTTTATGTTCAACAGCAATTTTTAACTTCATTATTTTTAATTGACGTTCTGCAACAATCCGCGATTGTGCATACAACTTTGCGAGATCTTCTTGGGTAGTTTCATTTGAAGAGACTTCAGAATCTTTTTTTGCAACGCCATTTGCGAGTAAGTTCTCGGAAGTAACTACAGGTTTTCGAATAATCATTTTATCGTCCTTGAAAGCTCGAACCTCAGACCACCACTTGCGCGTATTTTTTGAATTATTTTGATTTTCATAATCATATCGGTCTACATCACGAGATTCATTAAAGTCTCTGTTATATCTTTCTTGGCTAGGGCTATCTTCTTGATAATAATTACAGTTAAATTTTCTATAGTCGTTTCCACACATGTAAAAAGGATCATTAGAATGCGGTGAAGATTGCAGAATGTCAGCGCCTCTTATATGCATATATTTTGTATCGGATCGGTACTCAAGTCTGTCAAGACACCCTTCATTCGTTGAATTTCTTTGTTCATCTGTTTCAAATTTCTGGTTTTGATAATCTTTTATGCTATTTTCTTTTATTATATCTAATTGGTGATCCGACTTGCCGTGAGTTAGCTTATTATCACACAAATTGTTGGCTGCTACCAAATTATCATATAGTTTCTTTTTAGCTTCATCTTTCTTCTTTGTTTGGTCATTAGACATTTCATTTTCGGCAGCAATTTTTTTAATTTGCAATCTAACGTTCAACGCGCCATTGTTATCATGAGATGTTTGAGTTACTAAAGAATCTGCACAACTACATACCGTTCGCGAATTGTAAGCGGACTGTATATGTACGAACGCATTCACGCATTTCGCGAACAGTTTTCCAGACATATTTTTCAGATTAATCGCATTAGATACTCAATTAGAACATAATTAGAACATTACTACTTGGAAATTTTGATATAAACGCATTTTTTTATAATTTTAGCATAGTGAGCACATTCCCGCTTTGAGCGGTCGCTTTTTAATTAGTACCAACGCTTTGTATCAAAAATTTTAGCGCGAAAACAAAATGCATGCTTGCTTTTCCAAGCGTAAAAATGACGTATAATTTGTGAGATAGTTTTTCATTTTTTCTGTAATTGATTACTTGTTTATTTAGTTGAGTTAATTAAGTTAGTTATGCATTCGAAAGAATATGATTTCGTCACAAAAATTATGTTCATAAAAAGTAGTATACATACATATCTATTTCACGTAATGAGAGTATAACTTATTAAATTGAATATCGGTATAATTAGTATTAAATTGAGTAAACGGTAAATATAAATTATTACCTGATCCGGTGAAAGAGAACTATCCCCACTGGCATTCCGCTCCTGATTCGCTGCACTCCTTTCAGTTTTACAAGCCATGTGATAATCAGCGCGAGCGCGTTGTACCTTAGCTAAATGCTTAGACCAAGGTTTCTGAGCTTTTTTGAACGAGTCTTCCATTTCTTTACGTTCTTTTATTTGTATCATTGACTGAAATAGTAATTGTCACATATATAAAATCTGTTTGATTTAGGTTAATTCTTTTTTATGAAGTTTTATCTAAATTTTTTTATGTTTCAATTTATTAGGTTCCGTAATGAAACAGTAATTTTTTTAAGTTTCGCAATCTACCATAATCAAACACATATACTTATCAATTAAGAGCTTTACTCGTCAGGTTATAAATATAAAATATATATATATATATATATATATATATATATATATATATGTTGAAAGTTTCGTCGACGTTGATACATATTTGTAAATTTTTTAGCAGCCCAACAGTCGAATTAAAAAAGATTAAATAACAAAATTATTTATTCAATTATACGTTTCGACACTTGATGTGTGTCATCATTCAGTAATCTAAAAACATTTAACATAATGAACAAGTGATGATAAATATAAATATATAAAAGGAGGAAATTATACATACCAAACCAGGAAAAACAAAAAAATTAATTATGATGTGAAAATTGATATAAACACTAACTTTGTGTGAAATAATAAAAAAAAACTATTATTAACAAACGAGTTTATAGGAGGAGCAAATATTGCCCTCCTATATTTAAGTTAACATCGGAAAGTGTTGTGTGTACTATTCAAGGCTAAACATACAACTCAGAGCAGTGTAAGCCACGTGCGCGTATGGGAGTGGGAGGAGTAGCAAGAACGAAAGGGGAAGGAAAAACAGAGAAGAAATATAAAGAATGAAAGGTTCTAAAACTGTATTGAATTACTTTTCATGAAATTAATAATTACTTTGTAACTATCATGTAAGAGATGAGAGGAATTACGTTTGTTTACACAAGACGTATTAAGGGATATAAGTAAAGACTCAACTATCTTTCTAAGGTCACTGTTCTTTTCAATGTAAAGGATTGAGGGATTTGTCATGTTAAAGGAGTGGTTCAGGTTAATCATATGTTCAGAAAGCATCGTTTTGAATTGATTTGGGTTTCTGGAATTATAAGTATGTTGATTAACCCTCTTGTAAATATATTGGGAAGTTTCACCAATGTAACAACTATTACAGTCGTTGCAGTCCAACCTGTAAACAGAATCAGTAATCCTATCAGCGGGAGTTTTTGATTTAAGAGGAGAAAAAAGGCAACGGAAAGTGTTATCAAAACTGAAAACTAAAAGAAAACCTTCAGCGGCAAATAACTTTTTTAAAAAATAAGAAAAACTACTTAAAAAGGGTAAACAAATAACACCTTTATATTTATCAAAAGAAGAAGAATTAGATTTAGAAAAAGAATTAGAATTGTTAAGATAAGAGGAACTGTTTAAATTGTTTTGTAAAAACTCTAATCTATTTTTAATAACGTTATTTACTAAATATGAAGGATAAGAATTATTATTCAAAACAGCACGAACTAAAGATAGGTTTTTTCCCCAGAAAATCTTATCACTTAACAAAATGGCCCTATCTATTAAGGAAATAGCAACTGAAATTTTTATAGAACGAGAGTGATAAGAAAAATAATTTAAATAACGACCAGACCAAGTTGGTTTTTGGAACCAGTCAGTGAGGATGACATTATTATTTCTTATAAGTTTTAAGTCTAAGAAACTGATAGAATTACCAGACTCAAGTTCACAAGTGAACTGCAAATTCTTATTAAAAGAATTAAAAGAATCTAACGTGTGGGATACATAATCATTATCTAAACACAAGAGGATGTCATCAACATATCTATAATAAAAATAAGGTTGAACGGGAAGATTTGTTAAAATAAAATTTTCTAAAATTTGTAAAGTTAAATCAGCCACAGGAGGACTAATACTAGACCCCACGGGCAAACCAAAAGTTTGTGAAAAAAATTTATCGTCAAAACAAAAGTAAGTATTTTCAAAAATGAAATTTAAAGTAGTTTTAAACCAGATCAAGTCAAAAGATGTATGGGGTTGGATGTCATTCCAACGGTCATTGACTGCCTGTAAAGCAAGATCCCAAGGAATATTGGTGAACAAGGAAATGACGTCAAAGCTGGCTAAAGAAAAGTTGGAAGGGATTTCGGAATTGTTTAAAATTTTAGCTAAATTGAAAGAATTGGAAACGTTAAACTTGGAAGAAACGGTAACTTTTGAAAGGATAGAACTAATAAATTTTGAAAGTTTGCTTAAAGGAGAATTTACGTCAGAAACGATAGGTCTGAATGGTAAATTTGGTTTGTGAACCTTAGGAAGACAATAAAGTTTAGGAAAGCTGGGATGAAAAACTTTCAAAGAATAGCCTAAAGATTTAGAGATTTGTTTTTTAGAAATCAAAGTACTGATAAGATTGTGTGTTTTTCTATTCAAATGGTCAGTGGGATCATTAACAAGAGGTTTATAAAAATTAACGTCATCTAATAAATCATAAGTTTTTGAAAGATAATCAGACCTGTCAACAACAACTGTAAGGTTTCCCTTATCAGCTTTAGTAACTAAAATATCAGGATTATCATTCAAAAACTTTTTACATAATTTTAAATCTCTTACAACTTCCAAATGTAAAGGGAAAGAACAAGCGTTAGAATTAATATATATATATATATATATAGTAGCTGACCCGGCAAACGTTGTTTTGCTAAATAAGGTATATTCTAAACCATTTCTAGAGAATCAAAAATATTAATACTTTAAGTGCATAAGGATGCGTTGTTTGAATGCTGTATACAATTAGGTATTATAAAAACAATAAACCCGATTAGTTTGTCTATATCTTGTCAATACAATCAAACTGCAAGTTTTATACACTTTCTATAGAAAACATCGTATAATACAATCCGAGTCTTTTTTGCTCTTTCGGCTTATTAATTACGTTTCAAGTTTTTCAGATTCTTTTTGGATTCTGGATTTTGTGTGTAATTGTATATAATACTACTGAGCTTGTACAAAATTTTCAAATTTTTGCGAGGAGAGATAAAAAATGAATTAAGTATTTCTTCTTTGACCTGCTTTTTGAAAAGTTTCAAGTTACATTCGATGAATTAAAGTAAATTTAATAAAAAGTATATATGTAGAGCAGGGCGAGGCACAAAGGTCCAATTTGACTTTGAGCAAATATAAACCATAACAATTATATCACAACAAATAAGACATATCAAACGAACAATTATTTGACTACGTTCAGTAAACTGACTTCTACTTCATCATTGTAGAAATGTGCTTTTTCGATGTCTTCCAAAAATTTGTTATCTAGACCTTTTTATCCTATATGCGGGGTAACTTGTAACGGGCAGGTGGCAAAAGGTTTAAAGCCTTATTATAATTTTAAAGGTATTTTACAAAATAATTACATTTTTAACTAAAGCTAAAACTACCAACGGAAGAAAATACTTTTATTATGGATTTTCAAAGATTACCGTTTATCTCCCCCATTTCAAAGATTATCGTTTTCAAATCAAGTTTGTAGCTGGCTATACATCTTTTTTCCTCTACTTTTAAATATTGTTGTTAAACAATGCTTAACTTTATTGATTTTTGGCACATCGGTGGTGGACCTTTTTAATCCCAGACCTTCATATATTAATATCTATTCTGCGATAAATTCTGGGAAATTATAATTGGAAAAATGTTATTCGACAAAATGTCCATTTGATCGATACCAAATTTAGGTTCTGAATTTAAATAAGATAAATAAAAAATAATATAACCCAGAAAATGTTTTATAAATACCAATGAGTATATAATTATACAAATGAGATCTTTCAGAGCACCGTGTTTGAGAAAAATATGCCAAAAAGTGCATTTCCATATTAACATATCAAAAAAGTTTATATTTTGAGTCTCTAGTAACACTTGCGGCCCGTTTACTAACGTTTTTGTATATAAATAAAACTACAAACAAAACTACTTACTACAAATTTATCATAAATAAATAATATTTGCGTAAAACATCCTATTAAACGTAATTGAACATCATCTGTCAAAAGCGTTTGACATTTCACGAAATTGCCACCGTCCATTGTTTTATTTAAATTACGCTTCTACAAAAATTTTCAAATTAAAAATGTAAAGTTTCTACGCGGATTTGAAATAATTTCTCACCTTTTGGACTTTCTCTGGATTGGCACGAATTTTTCAAGACTAAGAGTGGCCAAATCGATTCAGCCGTTTTCGAGTTTTATTCGGACATTTGAAAGAGAGCTCCATTTTTATATATAAGATATATATATATGTATATATGTATGTATGTATCATTATATATTATAATGTGTAATTAACTTCCCGTAGGGCAAAAAAATCGAAAATAATTTTTTTTATATATGTTTACGTTTCAAAGGTTTCTAAATATTTTGGAATACCTTACAAAAATTGATGCATGTGTGTGTATGTGTGTGTGCGGATACATGCTGATTAGTTTTTGGCGAAGGCAGGTCTAGCCGTTCCGAAGATACGGCGCAAAAAGAGCCAAAAACGGTAACTCAGTTTTTAAGAGAACTGAGGGTCCAATTTTAATAATTCAAAAAACATTTTACTTGTATTGACGAAATGAACAACTGGTAAATTTTTTGGGAAGGAAGGTCCAGCGGTTATGGACTCTAAATAAAAATAAGTTGAAAAAATAGCATTTGGCGGTCGAAAATGTTTATTGGACATATGTACATCAAACTATTAGATATTTTATAGAGATTTTAATATTGTGTACACATTTTGTGTAAATTTTTTTGGGTTCCGTACCAAGATTTTTAATTTTGAAGTTTTTTTACATGTTTCAAACAAATGTCCTCGACATTTTCGACAGTATCCCTAGTAGAAATGTATCGTGGCCAGAGGGGTAAAATATCGTAGCGCAATATTCGAATCTTGTCTTTAGTTGGACCGGAAAATATTTGTTTTCAAAATTATGGAAAATTTGGAAAATTCATCGGAAAAGTGTTTTATATGGTTTATTACAAATAATAAACATGTTTCCCATCTGATTTACGCCTCTAATTTTATATTTACACAAATTATACATAATTTTTAAATGTGGGCAAAATCCAAGTTTTTTGTGG